AGTAAAGTTAAGTAGTAGTAGTTAGTTAGTAGTAGTAGTAAGTAAGTTAAGTTATTAGTAGTAGTTGTTGTAGTAGTAGTAGTGTAGTTAGTTTAGTTAGTAGGAGAGTAGTAGTAGAGAGAGAGAGAGAGAGAGAGAGAGGTTTTCTCATAGACATTGGCATCTAGAATCTAGCTAGGGAGACTATTCCATGGGTGTTTGGGTTTAGACTCAACGAGAGAATTTTTCATGGACTTTTGGTTGCATAGAGAGAGAGAGACTCATGGACCTTGGGTTCGTGAGTCTTGAGAGGAGACTAATGGACCTTGGGTTCATGGGTCTTGAGAGGAGATTCATGGATGTTATGCTCTAGATACTACAGAGTGTGTGTGACTTTCACGGAGAGAGAGAGAGAGAGAGAGGTTTTCTATACTGAGCCTGTCTCTCTCCCTTCTCAATATCATCGCAGAGGAAGAGAGAGAAAACAGTGGTTTTGTTTTCTTGAGACGAGTGAAAACGATAGTTTTCCATTTATGTGTTTTTTGTGTGCCTTCCATTCGAAGAATTCCTTGTTTTATGGGACTGAGTTTTCTTGTGAGAGATACCTGACCCTGTGGCCTAAAACGACAACATGAGAGAGAAGAATAGAGAGAGAAACAAGTGGAAAGTTGAGAGAGAGTGACAACAAATGTAGAGAAGAGAGAGAAAATGCATAGGAATGTAGAAAGCAAAACTAGTAAAGAGAGAGCGAGAGCAGAAAGAAATCAAATGTAGAGAAAAACAACTACAAAGAAGAGAGAGAAAGTAGATAGAAACCAAATATAGGGAAGAGAGAGAAACATGTAGAAAGAACAGAGAGAGAAACAAGCTCTAGAGAGAGTAACAGGAAGCAAGCAACTGCTGAGAGAGAAACAGAGAAAACATCACACCTAAAAAGGGACACTAGAGAGAGAGAGAGGAAGCAGAAAATAATCAGATGTAGAGAGAGAAGCAAGAAGCCAACTAGAGAGAAAGTAAGCAAAGTAACCAACTGTAGAGAGAGAAGTAAAAAGAAACCAACTGTAACGGATAAACCAAGCTATGGCTTAAGGCCACTAGAGCTCTCACCTTGAAGAATGGAGGCTTAATGCGAGGCCACCTGAAGGAACAGAAACCACCTGAAGCCCCCACTGGTTCTCTAATGGCGGTTGCCTCATTTGACACTTCATATAACTCTGATAACTCGCTGAACCCATCAACCAAACTTTCCCCTGATAATTCAAATCCAAAACCAGCCTCCCCAACTCTGAAACCACATGATCAACAGGGCTATAACCACTTTCTCTCTCTAGAAAACTCCCCACTCTCTCATGGCCTTCGGCCACCCACTTCAAATCCCCTGTATAAACAATCACTGACTCACAGGAACCAGAGCCCAAGCACCCATCAACCCTCTTTCTCACACTAGAAATCTCCAAATCAACATTCTCTCTCTTCATCACCCTGAAACTGGAGAGAGAAACAAACTGAAGTTGGACAAACTTCACAGATCTTAACCCCTCAGGAACCTCCCCTCTCTCTGCCTTCACTATGACCTCTCTCACAATCCCTTCTGCACTCTCAGAGCAATCACCAATCACCACAGTGTTTCTCCTCTTCTTCCTCACCAAGACCTCCATAACCACCCTCATATCCTCCTCTCTCTCTCTAGAATCACTCCAAAAACCAGCTTTTTCAGGGGAAACAAAAGGTGGGTTTTGGTCTAGGGAGTAATTCACCAACTGGGTATTCCATAAACTGTGGTTTGGTGATGAATAAGGGGGAGAAAAACCAGAGGAAACAGTGTCCTCTAAATTGTTCTTCACAGTTGTGCTCGAGAAGCCGGCCTCTCGCATGACCCGGCTAACGCTTGGGTCGTCGAGAATGGAGATAACCAGCTGCTCAAGCTCCACTTTCACAGTCAGCAACGGCGGTTGGGGCTGTTGCTCGATTGTTCCACGCCTCTGGTGAGCTTGAGCCCTCTTGAGAGCAGCCACCAGAGCGTTAGAGAGAGAAGGGTTAGATAATGGGGTCGCGCTGGTCGGCAATCGGTTCAGGGCCACGTTGAAGCACAGCTCGAGGGCTCGGCATTGGAGAGGGTGAGAGAGAGAGGTAGAGAGAGAGGTGACGAGAGAAGGGTGGGAGTGAGGGAGAGAGTGGTGGGCGTTAGAGAGTGGGAGGGGGTGGTTTTGCTGCTGCGATTTGAGGCAGGCTCGGCGGAGTGGAGAGGAGCGAAGAGAGAGAAGGGTGGCGGCGACGTGGAGAGGGGTAGCTTGGGCATGGCCGCGCCGCCGGGCGAGGGCAACCGCATGGCGGACTGCAGCAGCGGCCTCCGGAGTGAGTGTCTGCTGCACAGAAGTGCCACCTGCTCGCATTCCTTGGCGGCCCGATGGGCGATTACCCCCCTCTCTCTCTAGATGAGCTTAAGAATTTGGGAGCTTTCTCTCTCTCTCTCTCAAGCAACCCCCCTTCTCTCCCTCTGGTTTGTACTAGCTATGGCTTTGGGAAGCTTTCTCTCGCCAAGTCTCTCTCTCTACCCACCCTCTCTATCGCTCTTCCCCCTAAAGATGGTTTGATTTTGAGATTTTCTATGGACTACTGGAGTTCAGATGTTTCCTCTCCCTCTCTTTCTCTCTCTAACAGGTTGCTCTAATCTTCTCTCTAGACCACGGATGTTCTACCTCTCTCCAGCTAAAACTCCTACTTCCACACACACTCTCTCTCTCTCTCTCTCTCAAAACAGGTTTCTTCAAGCTTCTCTCAGATCACTGTTCGGCTCTTTTTCTTTCAACAGGTTGCTTCTAAGCTTCTTTATGGCTACTATCCTTCCTCTCTCTCTCTCTCTCTCTCCTCAGTTTCACTTCACCTGAAACGGGCAGCTTTGGACTGAAAATGGTATAGTGTAACAAGAGGCACTGGTTTTTGTCCACCCACCGTCTCGGTATAAAGGCCTCTAAATCTCACAGAGAAGCCAACCAACAAACTTCCTATTCTTTCCCCCTCTCTCTCTCTCTACTTCCATTCTTATATTCTCTCTCTCCCTTACCATTTAACAGCGGAGTTGGGGGTCCGCCCTTTTCCTTTTCTTCTCTCTCTCTCTCTCTCTCCCTTCATTTGCATCTCGTAAGGGTCCCGCCTTTTTCTTTTCTTCTCTCCTTTGACGCCTTTATAGAGGAAAGGGCCAAACCGGGTGGGCCCATGCATGCAACCCTACGTGGGACCCACTTCCAAATTTTAAAAACAGCTCCGTATTATCAAAATCAGACATGGTCCCTCGTTATAATATCTTAATTAGCCTTCTACATCACTCGCAAGTTGGTGCCCGCCCTTATGTTGAAGGAAAACGTTTATATAGAGCCAAGCTTTAAATTTTATAATTAAAGATAAAACTATCTTTCAAGACTATTACAAAGATTTTAAGTATCGACATCATATTTTTTGATACTATTTGAAGGTGGGCTCTATTTTGATTGTTTAAAGCTTCGATTCTATACAAATTTCACCCATTTTTTGAACTCAAATTTTTTTGTATTTTTTAATTTTTCATATTCATATATCTCGATGATCAATTAGAGGGTTTTTAAACATTAAAACGGTATTTTCTATTGTATTTTTGAGGTTTCATCTTAATTCTACATTTTAAGGTTGTAAATTTTTATAAACTTTTTCCTAATTTAAAACCTAACGATTTCTAATTTGGATCCCCGATCCAAATGCGAATTTGTTAGGACTAAATCGCTTCCATGATAGTATGAGTCCCCGGCAAATTCCCCCTTAAATACGTTCTTTTATATATATATATATTTTTTAAGCTTGTCTAATATTTTTTTAGGCCCCTTTGTATCTCTACCTCATAACCCTTATATTTATTTTTATTTTATTGATTTTTTGATATTTTTTTAGACCACCGATTTGTACCGATCTAGACCATTTAGATTGACGATCAAACGATTAGACATAGATTTATAGTTGAACGAACAACCCTACCAATCTGAGCTTTAATACACATGTAGGTGCCCTTTCAAGAATAAAGACCATAGACTGAATACCTACGATATTTTGATGAGACCCGTTGATATGGGTTTTAAAACACCTACATTTGCAATTTGCAATTTGAAGAATGAATAACAAAGATTGGAGACCTATAATATTTTGATGAGAATCAAAGTGAGTTGACAATAATTTAATGTATTGTTGTTAATTTTATCAGGCCATAAGTAATATATTGTTGGTGGCTCGCTCCCATTTTTCAAGGGATTGGAAAGCTGAAAGTGAATCAACAAAAATATTATGAGTCAACTGCATTTATAAGACATCAATATGTAGTATTGTTATTGGCTCATTTGCAATTTATTTAGATCATATATTTGCGTGTCTTTAAGCAAAGACTATGTGAGAATTTAATATACACATAAAGTTTGTCAATGCTTAATTACATTCCCAAAAAGACAAGTGAGCTTTCCATGAATCTCTATGCTCATGAGATTTGTATGTATCGTTAGATTTTAATAGTTTGATCTTAATCGGATAATTGAGACTGAGCCACACATCAATTATGGCCTTATAAAAAGCTCCAACCAGTGTCATTATTATCGAGTCACTCTTAGTTATTCAATCATCTCTCCATATATATAATCACCACCGCCATCATCATCATCATCGTAATCATCATCATCATCAGATAAATAATATTTATATGGAGACGCATACAAGTTTTTCAAATAAAAAAAGAGTTAGGTGGTTATTTTTTCTCAAGAAAATACACCCAAAAAGCGTTTGTAGAAAATAATACCATTCACCAAAGATGTGTACCTTGCTAGGAGACATGTTGTCCAAGTTTCATTGATCCCCACCATCCATTGACAAGAGTGGATGGTTGATATTATCTTGGTGTGTATGAAGTGCCAATACACGTAAGGTGTAGGGTGTACTTTTCCAAATTGTGAGAGGATGTAGTTTTAGTGCTAGAATTTTTTATGATGGTTCGAAAATCTACTTATGTTGTTAATTATGATACTTAAAGCTGCAAAAATGGTGCATATTTATAAACACTTACAAATATTGATAATTGACAATCTAAATAATATATTATAAGAGGCATTGATTAAACTTAGAAATTTTTTTATTTTTTTACATTTGATATCTTAAGGTCGAGGTGATTAATTAGATATTTTTTCAATATCTGAACAACTTTTCCCAAGTGGACTTTTGAGGTGCGCCTCAAATCTATGGTATAGGGTGGATACTTGGTGTAAACTTTTACTTAGTGCATATTTAAGTTGTATTCCTTCACTTCAAAATTATGTAATCCATGTTGTATGTCTTCAACTCAAATTTTTATATCATTTTTATCATCATCCGAGCCTTATCTCACCTAGTTGCGGTAGACTATCAAGATTCATGATATAGATGTAACAAATTTTTTATGTTGGCTACTAACCAAACACACTCTCTCCTCTTTCTTATTCTGGTTTACGAGCTGCAAGGAAGGACAACTCAACCGCTTATACGTATAATCAAAACATGTTTAAGCTTCCATTCACAAATGCATTTCAAAATTCAAACTTGAGGGTAGTTTAGATAATATTGATATTGACAAGAGGCATTTTTTAAGTTCGTAGCCACGCCTACGGTCCATTATTGGAGTGGATTTATTTGTAATAATTGGCAATAAAGGGGGCAAATAGTTTATTGACAACACGCGAATCGCTTATCTGGCCACGGCCCAGGCCTTGTCAAGCCCGGGTTTTTATTCCACACAAGTACACTAGAAAAGCAACAATCTGTCTCCTCCTCCTAAACTCCAAAGATTTCTCTCTCCATCTCTCTCTCCCCCTTATTCTCTCTCTTTACACGCGGCGGTCGGGGTGGCACCGGACCGGACCTTATTGGGGTCCGGACCTAGGTCTGGGTATTGGGCCCAAAAATTAGACTCGACCGGTCTGGTCAGGTCCTGGTCCAAATATTGGATTTGAACACTATTTCGGCCTTGGTTTATGTGGACCCGAACCCGAAATAGTGATATTATTTAAATAATATTTAATATATAATATTTTAATAATATTTGAATAAAAATTTTTTTATATAAAGCCGAGGCCTTAAACAATAAAATTAGAACGGACCTAAAAAATATCACTAAAAGAGGTTGTTTTGATGCGCAAGTATCCTCAAATTGATTATCTCGACATCAATACTCATAGACATGAGAAAAAATGGATTTCAAGTTTTGAAAATAATGCATTTTGTAATATATTTTTGGATTGTAAATTTTCAACTTTTCATAGATTTGCTTGATCTACACTATTTTTTAAGCTTGAAATTTTATAATTACACATATAAATATATTTGAAGGCTATCACAAAGATTTCCAATATGGAAACCATATTTCTCTATACTATTTGAAGGAGCGCTTTACTTTGATTGTTTAGAGTCTCGGCTCTAGATAAACCCCTTTTAAATAAAGAAAAAAGTTTGTATAAGGCCTCAACCTTATACTGTACAGGTAAGGTGCACCTTAAGTACCTACTATTGAAGCTTGTTCCAATGCTGGAAAACCCTCAAATCGATCATCTCAACCTTAAGATTTATTGACATAAAAAAAAATGACATTTCTAGTTCTAAAAATAATTCATCTTCTAACACATTATCTGGACCGTCCATTTTCAAGATTTTCAATTGTTAATGGATTTGCTTGATCGTCACTATTTTTATAACTGTAAATTTCATAATTCGGGTTAACAATATATTTTCATATCATCGCAAGACTTTGTAGCACTGAAACTAGATTTTTGGCATACTTTTGAGGCGCATCTTATTTCAATAGTATAAGATTGGCACTGTCTACAAACCACACCCTTTAAATAAATATAACTGAATGTGTTTAGTTAGGGTGTAGTTTCTATAAGGTTGCAATCTTAAACAATCCAATTAAGGCGTGCCTCCAAATTTTATCATAACATGTAATTTTGCTGCAAAAAATTCTTAGGATTATCGAAAAATCTATTTTCATATCTAATTATAAAATTTTAAATTCCAAAAATGGTTAAAATCAAGAAGATCTATAAACATATGAAATCTTAAAAATAGACGGTCTAGATAGTGTGTTGCAAGATGCATTATTTATGGGGCTCAAAATCTTTTTTTTTACCAGATTCATACATCTTGATATCGAGGTGATCAATTAGAGGGGTTTCAACATTAAAGCAACATTCACACATGATTTTTGAGGTACATCTTTAGTTCAAAATTTAAAGTTGCAACTTTGTACAAACATTTTCCTTTTATTTAATATATATATATATAAATACATTTAAATATATATTTTTTATTTTTTGGTTGGGTCCAATTGGGTCTGGGTCTAGTCCCGCATCCGCATACGATAACTTTGGGACCAGGTCCCATAAACTTTTTTTTTTTTTTGACCAAACTGGACCCAATGCCACACCAAATACACAATTTCTCCCTCTTAAGCGTGGCAACGGTATGGGGTTGGACGGACCCTGGCCCAGCCCTTGTCCCTAGAGAGCCGGCCTAGGCCGTGGCCCTTTCTATGGGCCAAAAGTAAATGAAGAGAAAATAAAAGATAAAAATCAGAAAGATAAGGCTGGGCGAGGCGCTAGCACTGGCCCTTGGGTCATAGTTCGTGACCATTGACCTTTTTTGGGCCGGGCCACCAAACCCATTACCAGCCATAATCCGTCTCTTCCTATCCTCTATGCTCTGAATCAGTTCGTCTCTCAACTCGTCCTATGCTCTAAATCATTCTCACTTATATAGAGCCAAGGCTTTAAACAATCAAATTAGAGCCAACCTAAAAACTTTCACGAGCAGAGGTTGATTTGATGCTCAAATATCCTCAAATTGATCATCTTGATATTAAGATACCTGAGCATGAGAAAAAAGTAGATTTCAAGTTTTAAAAATAGTGTATCTTGTAATGCATTTTTAGATCGTCAATTTTCAAAAATTTCAAATTTTCATAGATCTATAGATATGCTCGATCTACACTATTTTTGAAACTTTAACTTTTATAACTAAAGATAAAAATATATTTAACCGCTATCACAAAAATTTCTATTTAAAAGGGTATTTTATTTTGATTATTTAGAGCTTCGACTCT